CGGGATCTCTGGCTTTGAAGCTTTTCTCAATGTGGCCGGAGGTGACCTAGGAGTCGGTTTTGATAATTGCTCGCCTTACTGAGAGTGCGTGGAGCTTTGATAGAGCCAGTATGATTGCTCGTATTCTACGCTGTTGTTTGTGCATTGGAATTCAAGCCTCGCTGCATATCTGAGTTTGATACCGAACGGTGAGGTTAGGATTGCCGCTATTCTAGCTCTCGCTAATCCCCATGCTTCGTCTGTTGGCACTGTCCATATTGGTTTTGTAACTTCTGCTGTATTGTGAGTGTCGGGGGTCAAATCTGCCAAGAAGTCTGCGAGGGCCTGAGATTTGATTGCGTTTCTCCCGGCGAACTCAATTGTGAAGTTGTTGATTTCGGTGGCCCATTTTCCTATTCGACCTATGGCTTTAGGGTTCTTGAAGATGTTGTCAAGTGGGAAACTCGAAGGAATAGTGATCTTGTGCGCCTAGAAATAGTGCTTCAGTTTTCTGGAGGCCATGACGACTGTGTATGCTACCTTCTCCATTTTTGTATAGAACGTTTTTTGCTTCGTCGAGGGTTTCGGATACATAATACACTGGTAGCTACTTCTTTTGATGCTCTTCTTGATTTCCTTTTACTAGTACTGCACTAACGACATGTGGCGAGGCCGCGACGCATGAGGCTACTGCATTTCCCAACGCAGGTGAAGTAGTACAAATTTTCTTCTTGCTCCCATTTGTCTCATCTCTGTTGCTAGTAGCTACAGGTCCAATAGCAATTTGCCGTGTTGTGCTATAAGCATCACACATGTGCACAGAGAATGTGTTTCAGATCTGCTCATTTTTCACAATGCATTATTCCATGTCTATACACTACCAGAATCTAGAATTACTTGAGGGCTCAGAATTTCCTTGAGTGCCAAAACAAAACCGCTAAGAAAAAAATATTTTTCTTGGCGGTGTTACTGAACTCTCAAGGAAATACATATTGCTTGGAGGTTGAGGTTACCCGCCAAGGAATATGGGTGTTTCCTTGGCCGTTTCTAATCACCTCCAAGGAAATTACTCATTTTTTTGTGTAGTTGTAAACAGTCAAGTAAACTACTATTTGCTTGAGTGTTATTCTTAACCGCCAAGGAAAATACCAATTTTCTTGGGTGTTATTCTAAACCGTCAAGTAAATTATCATTTCCTTAGGGGTTATTGAATTTTCTTGGAGGCTAGCAGCCAAGGAAATGCTTATAAGTATTTTGGTGACTCCAATAAAAAACAATAATATATTTAAGGTGTCTGAAAATCCTAAAATTTGGCATGAGAGCATAACATGGTTGTATTATCTTGCCATAAAATTGTCAAATCATATTAACAAAGTTGGACTATACATTGTTCATAAATGGATAAATCTCTCACATAGTTATGTAACTATGTGAGAGATGTGTCCATGTGTGAACAATTTATAGTACCACTTTGTTTAAATCATTTGATTTTCTTATGCAAAGATTATACACCAAAACTATGTTGTCATGCAATTTTGTAGAATTTTCTAACAAAGTTTAGATATTATTATTATTATCCTATGGTAATTTGGAGATAGAACTATGAATTATCTATAGCAAACAAATGATTTTTTGTCTAACTCCAAGATATGGGCTAAAGTGAAATGTACAAGCCAAAGTATATTTTCATGAATTTTTTTGAATCTTTTTGGAGGTACGGAGAATTCAATTTAGATTTACTTTAAATAAACATGCAGAAATTTATTTAAACCGTAGTAAATAGAAAATATATTCAAAAAATTTTAAAACTCCTCCACAACAACTTATATATAGTATATTACATTTGAAAAATATATTTGGGTATAGCATATACTTTTTTCATGTTACTTTAGAAGGATTTCCTACTTATTTAAAATTAGACAAAACAATTAACCGTAATCAACAAAATCACAATATTCGGTTTAAAAATGAAGCCCATATCATGGATGCAGCCCACTTCAGTCCCTCTTGAGGCATGTTTTGCTCGTCGCCATTGGATCAATCTTGGACGGCTGAGATAGGACAAGCCCATTACAAAACCCTAGTTGTGAGCACTCAGATTCCTTGGCACTTGGGCAAATTAAGTTTGGCCCTAGTTTTCTTGGCGGCCAGCCACCAAGGAAATCATCCTTGAGTGCCAAAACCGTCAAGGAAACTAATTTTCCTTGTCTTCTATCCTTGGGTGAATTTGCTTGACGATTTGTGGTTAACGATCATTTCCTTGACGGTTTAACCCCTTTTCTTGGTTGTTTTTGGCATTCAAGGCAATTCGGGATTATGGTAGCGATATGCTTCGGCAAAAAGTGATATCAGGCATCTGTAACTTTTGCAGGCTACACTAGCACCCACGTGGCATCTGATCCTACGTGTCCTGACAACTGACAAAATCACAAACCAGCAGCGTGGTGCGTTGGTCGTGCCCTTAGTGATGGCTGGAAGAAAAAAAACAGCACATTTTATGCAAAGAGCTTAAATCAGTTCACAAGGACGGCCCATCATTTTTCATGGGTATAAAAAGTGACGGATCACTACAGATGGTTGACGATAAAACCTATCAAATTTGATGACTTGGTAAAGAAGCAAACGGGTCTTCGTGGGCAACAAAAAATGCATAGGTGTGGCTGGTGTTGCGTCGTCCCTTTTTACTATGACGACGCCGACGCCGAGCATTGTCCTAAGGCGTCTTTATCTGCTTTCCTTCTGTTGTTTTGAAATCCATATCGTGCCCATCATCAATGACACATGTTCCTCCTCTTACCAGCATGCTAGCTCCTACCTGGCCGTGAGTGAAAGTCCTCTCTCATGCACATTAATTGTCCTAGCACCTCTTTTGGTTGCTTTGTGGGGAGCGATGCTACAGGTCAAATGATAGCTATATATCAGCGACAGAATGGATGCAGCAGCCGGACTCTGCCTGCGCTGCTCGCTATCGCGGGACGGACTCCGCTCGCCCACGCTCGCGGGACGGACTCTGCCTGCGTTGCTCGCCGGCGCTGCCCTCCGGCCGTTCGGACTCGTGCCTCCCGTTGCAGTTGCACTCCATCCACCTGCCACGGCCACTGCCAAGGTCCGTGCCGCCGCCAAGCTCCGCACTAGCGACCTCTGAGCACTCCGTAGCATCGAGCTCCGCACCGGCGTCGAGCTCCACAAGGACGAGCTCCATTCGTCTAAGCAGTAAGGTGACATTGCGTAGAAAGCACGTGTCGCAGCGTATTTTCGAGTGTTTCAGTAGGTTTAGAGGTATGTTGCTAGGGTTTCGTATGGATGTTGCAAAACTAGATCGGGATATTGCATATGTTGCAATGGTTGTACGCTTATGTTGCAAACGTCTGTCCCCAATATTTCATCTGTTTTTTCAGACATATTTTGCAAGTGTGTTTATCTGAATGTTGCATATGTTTCACACATATGTTGAAAATTGCGTACGTGTTGCAAAGGTTTTCAAGTGTTTTTTAGGTATTTTTCTAAGTGTTTCAGACGCATGTTTTAAATGTTTCATTTGTTTTCAGATGTATGTTGCATTTATTGCATCTGGATGTTTTAAAATTAGATCGAGTATTGCATCTCCCTCCTCACCTTTCTGCTGTCTCGCCTTGGTGTCAAGCACGGGAAGGCGGAGGCAGTCCCCACTAGCGTGGGCGGGACCCACGTGCTTGTGGGCAGGCACAATAGACGAGATGTGGGCAAGCAGGCGCGGGGCATGGGAGGGGGGGGGGGCAGCGACGCGGGCATCCTGATGGGGGTAGCATCCAGACGTCTAGGCACTAGTCATGCCATAAAGGATGGCACCTGTGTAACTTCAGTACTCATTTAATTGAAACCTTAGCTTAACTTATTTTGACCTCACCAACGACATATAATATCTCTGGATGGTGGAGGTTGGCTATCAGAAGGGTGCCAAAATAGCTGAAGAAGGGGTTGAATTCACCATTCTACTTTCCTAGGAAATATATATAGAAGCATACAAACCCTTGTGTGTGTTTTTAGACCAAAGGTTTACCCTGCTTATATTGAAAGCAGCCAGTTTTTGCTGGGGTTACCAGCCATAGTGACAGCAAAATAAAAGTTCCAACGACAACATAAAACCTCCCCACCTCTCAAACTACTTAACGACGTGACTTAAAAGAAAAGAAAGTGTTCAGGTCCTGGGCTTCCTTCAACATCCCTTGATCACCATGCTCTGAGTCCCTCCTGGAGCTTGTGGATAGCGTCCTCCATCAGCTGTTGCTCCTTCGTCTTGAGCAGATTCTTCCACTGTTTCATGAAACCCAAAGCCACTACAGCGCAGAGATATAGTAACACCAACTTGTGTTACTGTATATTGGAAAAAGTGTTACTAGCTCACTTAGTAACATATTTTCTTTTGTGTTCCAATTGGCTATGTTACAATAGACTGGTTTATTGTAACACAACTACTTGTCTACAGGAACACTTGTCTAGTGTTACAATGATTTTTGTTGTAACACTTTTTTTTGCTCTAGTAACACTTAACAATATGGTAGAATGCATAGTGTGGAACACATTTATTTATCTATCGTAAAATTTGCATAGTGTTACAAGAATGTCTATTGTAACACTTTTTTTTAGTTCTAGTAACACTTCCACATTATGGTAGAGCACAGTATATGAAACAAAGCAACACATGGTTTGTAACACTTTTTTATATCTATTGCAACATATTCGGATTATGAAACACATATTTATTTCTCCAATACATATGGCACAAGGATTATTATATAATCGCACAAATATGACACACTGTAAAATCACATAAACCACAAATTTCCATAATCATAGCATGATCCACATATTGTGGAATGATCTCAAACATAGTGCTTGTTTAGAACAAATCGTAGTATATGTACATAACGATATGGCTCAAGAGAGCAAACACACGTAGTCCATACTAGAAAGAAAAATTCAAGAACTAGCTATGATTCCTAAAGTCCACTGCTTCTTCCTGTGCGCATTGATGTAGGAATTCAACCATTAATCATTTGAACCTGCAAAGAAAATTTAAGTTGTAACATTACAAATTAAGGCACATATATACATTGATGTAAAGTTAGGAAAGCTAGTTTTGAACATACAAACATCGAAGGCCAAGCAATTTGGACTCTTTTGGCATGAGCATCACCAATATTGTCGCACCCAAGCATAGGCCTCACTAATGGCTCATCTTTTGTTATAGGATGATTGATACGCACTTTGTAGAATTGACTTCCTATCTTAACTACACCAACAAGGGCTTTTGGATTAGTGCTCAAGAGAGTTGCATATGCCACATTAGCCTTATTAGGATATTTTGAAGTCATTAGTAGCACTGTGGACCCAACCTACATTAATTTGACATAATCTCTTAGTGACCAGCAACCCTTTAGTTGTACATCGTGATCATGCATTTAGAACAAGTGATATGTTCAACTACCTTCATTAGAGAAAGTCGTTTAGGTGTTTGGCGCCTGTAGCTTGTAGCCTTGTCATGAGCCACCTCCTGGTGTGCAATGGTTCTAGTATCTACAAGCCCTCCGTGATGTCCCTTACACATGTCAAATGAAAGTACAAAATAATAAGACACAAAATCTACTATAATTATAGCAAAGTGTGGTTCATAGATACCTTTTGTTTCTTTGGTATTATTCTACTTGTGGCGGAACTCCTTTGACAAGAATCAAACTGAACGGAAGAGAAAGGCAATTGTATTTATACACTGTTATAGACATCTTAAATAACTAGCATTACAAGTCTAATATATTTTATTCAATGGTACATTGAAATAGTGTACCTCTGTTGGTGCAAAATCATTATGGAGGTGTCGTTCAAATATTGCCTGTGCTTCTGCTTCTTCTACTTCCTTGTCATTATTATCACTTTGGCACTGATTCCAATTCAAAATCGTTCAAATGATAATTAGTAGGTAAAATATTAACATGTACTAAACTAAGAGTATATTGTTGTTCTTAAATACAAGAAACCAGTTGATAACCTTTTCTCTAGATAAAAGTACATTGTCATCATCACTAAATTCAAACTCACATGTTTCTTTATTCTAGTAAACAGAAAAGACAGTAGCATTAGCTGTTATAAAAATCCTTTATGGATGCATAAGCATTAAATTCACAAGCAAAGGTGACTTTACCAATTCATCCCTATGTTTGAGGAATCCCTCATTCTGGTTGGGTGCACCACACTGGACTCTCTAAAATTTTGAAAGGATATTAAACCCAAAATACTAGTTTAGGTGAAAACATGAAAAATAGTGCAAATACCTTTCTTTTAGAATTCAGTACTTGATTCTGAGAATTGTTGTGATCACTCCTAGCACAATTTCCCTAGAAAAGATATAAAGTTTGAATAACGCATTTCAATACAGAGTTACAAAATTAAGCTGTACATTCTTACCATTGTTGCTTCTTGGTTCTCATTGTGCCTCTGATTGTTTTTTAGTTCTTCGATAACTTTGTCTTGCATTCTAGAATGCTCTTTGAGTTGCCTTATTTCCTCCAACATGTGAACCTCTACATCAGATGATGAGCCATCTAGTGAAACTATATTAATGTCCTTAAAATGGTGTGTTTTTGACCATAAACTTGTTTAGGAACCGGAAGCAATCCCATGCCATGCACTTGTCCAAATTTTTTCTTCTCCCAACACCGATGTAATGCATCACCTTCCCATGCAACTCCGCCTCACTATTTTGTGCTAACTCTGGTTGTGTGTCTAGGAGATTTTCCAATTGAACCTACAACAATGAAATCCAGACATCGGAAAAACAGAAATAATTATATATTGCAAAAAGTTCCCATGTGCATGTAGCATACCTTTGGCTCATTTATCCCTTTTCCCTTTTTCCGTGAGTGGCTAGATAAACCTTTGCTCTATGTGGCTGTTTTTTTCGGGATCAGCTTGCCTCTGCAAAAAAATAGTAGTAAAGGAAAAGCAAGAAGAATCATATATAATTTTTTTTACGAGAAGATGTACTCACCATGTCCTCAGACCAACGAGCATAACTCTTTGTACCTGCTATATGAGTTGTCTTCCTCATTTCACGACTTATTTTGTTCTTTTCACTAAGGGTCTACAAGAAAAGTAAATTATTAAATAATGAACCATTATACATGTAGAAATCAACAATAGTAGATGATGATAGTAAAAAATACCAAACAGTGTAAATAGTGGTGCCTTACTTTTCCTTCTTTGGACTTCCAGTATCCTACTAGGGCCTTCCATTCAGCTTCAACAATATCATCAGGACAACGCTTGTTCAAAACAGACCTTTTCTTCTTTGGATTAAATAGTGTCTTTTTTAATGTTGCCTTGTATTTTCTCCAATCTCTTCCAATTCATTTGAATATCCATTTGTCACATGAATGAGGATACAAGAACTTTGTCTAAAATAAGAAAGTCACTAAAAAATGAATTTGACTTCATGACATGATAACAATCATATCTTTTAAACAATGAAATCTGCACCAAACACTCTTGCCTATCATCTGGCCACGTGGGCTCACAATATTATATGAGCTAAACGCTACTGCACTCAACACTTAAGATGTAATTCACTTCACAAATTCAATTACACTTGAATAAAAAGACCAAATCATCATCCCAAATAACCTCTCATCTATTCAAGATATATCAGGTTTATTTTCGAACTGAAACAAAAACAAAGATGGCTAGAGACAAACTGATGTAGGTGCTAAGAGCGAAGAAAGAGCTAACCTGTACAAATTGAATGATGGTTTCTCCATAGTCTTTCTTAACTTTTCTCCAATCTTTGGCACCAACCGGACAGTAACCACCATTTCTTGCTATGGTGCCCAAAAATTGGCCTAAAAGGCCACCTTCTTTTCCAATGGGCTGTCCAAGCTTATTACATCTTACTACTATCCTATCTCCGTCAAGTAGATCCCAAACATGTGTTAAAACAGTCCCCTTTCTCTTTTTAGGTTCTTTGTCGCCATCAGCTATTAAAAATAGAATGACAGTGATAGTAACTAGTTAAGATATAGCCCATATGAATGAGATTGATCTAACTACATTTGTACCTGATGTGTTCTGGTTCTCATCATCGCGCTGCTCAACCTCGTTAGCATATAGTGCTTCAGTATGCATTAAATTTAATGCTTTCTTTTTCTTTGTACCTCCTCTTCCTGCTAAACAAATTTTGAATAGGCTAATCTTGGATGAAAATAAATCATTGATAACTACCATGATATGGAATAGTTAAGTTGTACTTGAATAATCAGATATACATACAGAAGAGTAAAATTATATGTTCATTCTAATACCTTTAGTTTTTTTTGGTTTAGATTTGGATGGTTCTTTGTTGGACTTGGTAGGCGCTAAAGTGGCCAGTCTGTCCTTTGTCACAAACAAGCTAACCATCTTTTTGCTCTCACACTCGTTAAGCATTTTCATCACTTCAGGATCTTGTTCTAGTACAACCAAGCTATCTTTTCGCTTGTAGTATAGATAGTCAACTGATGAGTATCCATGATCCTTGATCAAATCAATCAGGTTCCAGTAGCACATCTCTGTCCATTTCCATTTGCACATGTCTCTCTCCTTCAGGTGCCCCATCACATTCAAGATTTATGGTCCAATTATCCACCGCCATGGTTGCACAATCTAAATAAAATATAGTACCAATAGAAAATTAAGAATAAAGATAACATAAGAGTAACAATTAGATTAAAGTGCATATATGTAATGTTATTTGAACTTGGAGCTTGAGAACAAGTGAAGTGCTACGGTTCAGATAGAATGGTCAAAAGGATGGCATATTAGCTTTATATATAATACTTGTGTTTTTGCTCAGGTATGTAAAGATTTGATGCCACTAGGCAATAGAATTTTGAAACCTTATATCAGCACATAGCAATATCAGATTGCTAAATTTCCAACCATTGCAAAATATGACAATTAATCTTTGCAGGCACCAACAACTAATTTTACATGCAGGAAAACAGAACTAGCCAAAATTTTTAATCTTTGCAGGCACCAACAAAATATTTTTACATGAAGAGAAATAAATTAGACCCTGCACACATATCAAGATGTAAGAAAGAACAATCTTTTTATTCATCTACAGGTCTAGACCAGACATGCAAGATTTTTTTTGAGTTGTAAAATAGACATCCTCAGTCAAAATAAATTGTCATAATGATCAATCAGTTCACAACCTATATGAGGCAAATACCACTTGTGAGGTTGAGGAAAACAGAGCAGAACTACATACAGCTGCAGATCTACAAGAGCTCACCATCTTTGCTTAAGTCTTTGCTTAAGGGACCATCATCAAAAGATCACTGGTTTTAAAGATTTTGAATTCAGAAGATGGGCACTGTGAAACTGTAAATGAAACCACATTCAGAGTTGTGGAAAACTGATTTTACTTATCAAACCTTGCCAATTAACTAATGGATAACCATTTGTCAAACATCGCAACCAACTAGAATTATCATATCTGAAGCAATCTACCAAACAATGGAACAAAAATTTGGACAAATTTTATTCCTATACTTCTAGTGTATACTACCTATAGGATGAGGCCCAAGGGATTTGTATGCCTAGGGCAATGATCATGGAGCGATAAGGCAGGAGGAGACTAGGACATCGGCATCGGGTACCTCGGCGGCATGAGGTTCCGTTACCGACCCGCCCGCTTGTGAAGAGGGCCGATGATTTGGGAATTGTGGGAGCGGACGAGGAGTTGAAGATAAGCATACCTAGCGATCTGGGCTGGACGGACGAACTGATCCGGCCGCCACGAGCATGGATCAGCTGCCGGCGGTCGGTCCTCTGCTTGACCGAGATTCTCTTTCTGATGGGGTCGGGGAACTCGACGACGCGTTCGCTCGGCCGGCAATTGGCCACTTCGCCTCCGTCGAGCCCGTTCGCCACCGCTTGGCCTTGGAGCTGCAGTCAGCTACTCAGTTCGTGGAAATGAGGAGGAGTTGGAGTTTTTCGAAATCTGTTGAGTCACTGAGAGAGGGCATCTGCTTTTGGCGAGCAGATGTATTGTTCGGAGGGAAAATTTGGTGGGAAATACTTTGTCTATTTTTTGGAGGGAAACTAATGTTCCATGTCTCTTGATTCTAGATTGGTTTTGTGATAATATTAATAATGACACGTATATTAGTTTTGTGATAATATTAATAATATGTACCAAATTAGTGTATTTTAAACTAATGTCTAATAATAATTTTAATTTTACATTAACACATAAATGAATTTTATATAACTAATGGCACCAAATTAATGTGACCAATTATATTACTATTATTAATATGATAAATATTAATGAAAAATAGTTTCTTGAAACGAGTATTATTAACTACCACTGCACTTTCACTTATGGCTATAGAGCATATGGTTTCATCCAGGATAATGCCGCGGCGTGCGGTGAAAGTTGCTCGGTCTCGCACACCTTTCCCCTCGTCTTCTCCTCCTCGCGTCTTCCCCACCTTTGGCGCCATGTCGTTCCCCTTCCACCTTCTCGCCCGTTCGGCTCCATACATTCTCGCACACCTTCCGCCTCGTCTTCTCTCCTCCTCGCGTCTTCCCGCCACTTTGGCGCCACATCGTTCTCCGTCCACCTCCTCACCTCGTCCGACTCCATATTTTTTTGAGATCTCAACTCTTCATGTGCAAGTTGTAGTATCCGGGACTCACGCACCAACTCACACCACAACAAACGCACACACACACTCACAAACACACCTAGTGCACAAATTAGATCTACACCTATCTCTGAAGAGATTGGGACGTGGCTAAGAGGTATATGAAGTTGTCACCTTGTCTTCGAACGTGACGAGCACGTCACCCTGATGACGAATGTGGCATATCCACGTCTAAGGTAGCTAAGCCAGGACCAACCACGGGCTCTTGCCATCCAAGCTATGCTCTGTTCTCTCCAGCTCTATATCTAGTGCCCCTAAGCTCGCCCCCGTCTCCACCACCTCCGACCGTTGGTGACGACCACCTTCTTCCCCTTCCCCCTCTCTTGATGCGGCCATGGCAAACTAAGGCGACCTCCTCAACAAAATCCTATGCGGTGACAATGCTTCTTCTCCGGCGGCGGCAACAGTGCTTCTTCTCTGGGGGCGGTGGTGTTTCTTGTCCGGTGGCACCAGCGAATCGACGGCCAAGGAAAGCAGCAGCGAGCATCGCGCGATGGATCGGGTGTGCGCGCCGAGCGGCGAATTTGTACGCGCTTGGACGCTAGCATTTCCCAAAATCTTGAGTTCCATATTTGACATCCGAAAGTTCTCAAATAATGGGATCAGATGAAAACAAAGTTTGGAATAAAAAGCTATAAATTTTAAAATTTGAGGGATTTAAAATAAAATTTCAATATGTATTTTTCAGAAATAATTATGCACTTAAAAACATTTTTCCTGATGTCAGCATAACCGGTTGTTTTGGGCTTTCAAAACAACCGGATTCTCGGCCATCGGATCTGTACTAGCTGCCATCTGAGGCGTAGTTTGCTTCCCATTCCCTCTGGCTTTGTCGCAGAACGGCCGCCGCCGCCGCCCAAGTCCAGGCCGGTTTGCTCCGCTCGTCGTCGCATAGGTCCCAGGCCGCCACCGCCCAGGCGCAGGCTTCTCCCCGCTCCCTCCTTCGTCGTAGCTCCCAGGACGCCGCCGCCCAGGCCCAGGTGCGGGTGCGGCCATCCACGGTCGTCGTCCCCGGCGCGGACGCCGTCGTTCCCTGCCGGCGTCCCGGTGCAGGCGGGGGCGCGGCTGTCCCTGGCCGGCGTCCACGGCGCGGTGGCCGTCCACGGTGCAGAAGTTACCGTCCCCCGGTGGCGTCCCCGGCGGTCGTTCCTGGCGCGGACGGAGGTCGGGCCCCTCCTGTCCACCATTTTTTTTTTGAAAATTCTCAAGAATATGAAGAATCTGTGGAATATAATAGCCTACTTAAAAGCGAATGCAAGAGGTAGTAAAGATACCGTTACTGTAGCCTATCGTGTCTGCTCACTATCAGGTAGATATGGTGGAAGAGCTTCTTTCTGAATGCAAATCATGTATTTTCAGTGTACAAAGATTTAAAAAGTGGTCAATGCACATCTCTCGGCAGATGAACTTCTTACTGACAGGTGTGTTAGTAGTTGCTAGAATTAGCATGCTAAAATATTAATTGGACTGAAACAGGCCATAGAGATCAGAAACAAAAAACAACATTAGAGAAAAAGAATCACGTATATCTTGGTCTTCATAGCTCCGAAGAAAACACATAAAAGAACTAATTTGGCCAAACACTAAGCCACTCAAGTCTCAAACTTTAGATACAAACTCAGATTATCCAGCTGACCAGAAATAGCAAGCAATCAAAATAGGTTGAATTCCATGTTCAGAAGTGAATAACGGCTCACTGAATTATTGGGGTGGTCTAGCAGAGCTTTCAACAGGCAGTAGGTACCCAGAGCTCTGTTTTATTGGAGATCAGCAGCTAAAGCTAGCAGCTGCACAATTGTAGCTACTCACTGTTTGTTCAGTGATCTGTACAGGCTGCCATATATCCAACATTCTTTGTTTTTTGTGGAATTATCCAATTTTCTTATTGCCCTAGGCATACATCATGAGGCAATAATTAGCAGGCTGTACACTTCCTCATTTATCATCAAAGGAAAAAGAAGCAAAAGTTCATGGATTTTTTTTATAATTAATTTCAGCATTGTCCATCAGCACACAGCACCTTGACTACAGCTCCTTCAGGCAACACTATACTACTTCAGATAGGATTCATTATAGTATCATGGAAAACATAGCTGAATTGTTTTAAAAGAAATCATAGCTGAATGCATATAGTGATGCATCCTGCAACTCTGAGCCATATATTTTCATACTGACAACTAGAGCACATTTTATTTCAGTGAACCAAATCCAGAGGTCCAAGTTCAGAGAACCAAATTTGTAGAAACTATTATGAACATTTTGCAAGAGCATTGCCAAGTGAGTGAAATCTGAAGTCTTTCCTGTACATGCTATATTGGCAAAGTATTCTGATTCATTGTAATTCTCCCCCAAACTTTTTTCTTTTAGCAGTCCTCTGAAGAAATAGTCAAATTGTTTCATCATCACAGTGGTTATATTTCGAGGAGGCTATTAGAATCATAGCAGACAGTCCCATCGAAAGGCTATTGTGGTTCCTGTGAAGTTAAAACAAGGTGGACGATCCAAATCTACTTTCTTTATTGCTACTATTATAGATTTTTCATCGCTCGTAACAAGGATAAATAAACTAATGCAGTGATAGTATTTCTTGTTTTCAGTGAATTAATGGACTTAAATGCTATTAAGAGGTTGTTGCAATCTGAAAGACCAAGTGATGAGTACATAGCTGGAGTAAAAGGTTTTATTAAGTTTGCCTGCAGTGGAAAAAGGTCCGATGCAAAGATTTAGTGCCCATGTGTCAAATGTGTCAACAGACGGTTACAAACGCAAGAAACAGTGTATGAGCACTTACTGTGTAATGGAATGCTGCGTGGATACACTATATGGGGTTGTCATGGGGAAACAACATCTTATATCTCTGCTAACAAAGATTTAGAGCCATGTTCAAAGAAAAACAAA